CAAACCCCGGAACATCGCCCACACACCCCGCGATAAAGAAAAATTAACTTCTTCCTTCATTGTTTTTTACTAATCTGTACGCAGACATCCGACCAGGGTGTTCGGAAGTGCTAACTCTGCCCGAGGACCCCGAGGCCTTAATAGAACCCGTCGCGCTCCTTACCCTTGACTGGACTTCCGCCCCAAAGAAGGGCTTGCCAGCAAGGTTCTTAACAGAGCAGCATACCCCTTGAGGAGGATCCGACAAGATCGCAATCCTTCCTTCTGCTATCAAATGATTAAGGACACCCCCCCCTGAAAAGTGCCGACCGCTTAGAAGGGCCAGGAAACATCAGACTGAGTTTCAATAGGGAATCATGTACCAAACCAAATGGTCCAAGGAGACGCACCCATGCAGGCCGAGCTCACAACAACGAAACGATATGTATTTACGCCAAGAAATAAAAGAACATCTTTCAGCATCTCATACTCCGAAAGAGGAAATTTCAGTATACTCTCGGCAAGGATCCCTCCACCGAATTTATCCCAAAGTACTCGGAGACTTGACATCGACAATTTGGCGCTCGCACGGCCCCAGGGTCGAAACTCCGGGCTCATAAAGCCCCACCAAGATAACTCTGAGCTCACGAATGACGGCCTTCAAGCCCAAGCAAACTCGATGACTCAGAGACTGTCGCCAATCGCCTTACACTGGGAAACCCGAGGCCGTAAGACCCCGAGCGGGTAGACTCAGTATAACTATATCTATTCTACATGGAAACACAAACGGTAAGACCTCAACAGGCATGACAAAACTGTAAGACCTTAACAGGCATGACAAACTGTAAGACCTCAACAGGCATGAACAATTTTGTAAGACCTTTCTACACGTATAAAACTCAAAATCCCGAAGTTTGGACTATACATCGCATTTGTAAGAATCCCGAAAGGGCATACCCTCGGTGTACACTCCTAAACTATCACTCGGGATCAAAAATGGCTCCGACCAAACGCATATGACTACGGTCAAAATGGCTGATCCATCCAAATTTATGCGACTCAGGGACGCCCGACCGTCGCTAAACAAAATCGCAGGCCACTACTTCGAATATACTTCGGAAAGAACCGGTTAAAACAGGCTTCCCTCAATAGGCATAAGAGCTTCGACCATGTCATCTCCAAATCACAAGGCTTTAACCTACTCAACCTATGAGCTAAAAACCTTCTAAGGTGCTCAAACATTGCCGCTAACGACTTGAAATCGAGGTTCTTCTCGAACCGATGATGGGTCAGGCAAAATTATTTCAAAAGGACCTTAACGAGAGGAATACAAAGCCTACAAAATGCCTACGGGCAAATATGCAAGAGCCATTGTCGCCAGCCAAATAAGCCTCTGGGCCGCACACTAAAAGGTCTCAACCACCAAACAACGTAAGAGCCATTGTCGCCAGCTTGAAAATTGACAACTTGAGGATTAAAATGAGCTCGAGTCGTAACCCGATTCGGAGACCAGATCCAAAATAGTTAACTATACAAGCCTCCGGGCCGCATATTAAAAGGTATCAATGACCAAACAGCATAAGAGCCACTGTCGCCAGCTTGAAAATCAAAAAAACTTGAGGGTCAATTGAAGCTCGANAAGTAGTTGCCATGGACCTCAAAGAACGAAGAGTCGCGAAATTTTGGATTATCTTGGAGAAGCGGAAAGGCGAACCGCCTCGGCACTTGTAAAAGGGGGGCTACACTATTAGCATGACGTCATTATTGGAGACCGAGAAATGGGGTGTCAGAATCATTTCTTATCACTTCCCTCTAAGACATGCGGAGACTATCTCTGTGTGGTGAAATTGGGAAGGCCGATTTCTCCTTGACAAAATGCTTCGGAGGGTGATCCCGGAGGCTCGGGATCTCAAACCGCTCACTTCCCTCAAGATCGAACGATACCCAGCCAAGGATAATGCTGACCGAAGTCTCGACGAACGCAGGAATCTCCCGAAGAATGCATCTGGGGTTGATCAGGTCTATTTTGAGCAGCTCGACATCGGCCCACGTATACGTCATAAAGCTAGCCGGTTGTCCCATCCCATTTTTTTTATCGCACAATGTATCTTGTACAAAGTTTGGGCTCCGCCCTCCTATAAAAGGGGAGTCGCTAACACCCTGTAAAGAAGAGCTCCAACTATTCTACTCAAGTGCAATAATATCTCTCTCTCTCTCTCTCTTTTCTTTCTAACTTGCTCGTTCTCTCTGGCTCAAGGCCGCTTTAACATTTATCGCTTTCTTACTTGTTCTTCCTTTATTGCTTGGTATTGGCCATAAGGAGCGTTGATTAATCATATCCTAACTGTTATCCTATTCTTGACTACCCCAATAGCTCAAGATCAAGCCCAGGTATCGACCCCAAGGTCCTCCATCGACCGGTCCGAAGCCCGGACAGTAAGCCTTTCGGTTTAATTATTGCCTCGTTTTAGCTTGCATTTCATCATTAAACTTCATATTCCTAGCATATTCTTCTCTAACAACTAGCATAAAAATAGATCACATATTTTTAGAATCTCATTTACAAATTTAATTATTGTTACCATTTTCACAGTAAATAGTTTTGTTCAAGGCAAGAAGAGACAAGAGGCAAGGAGGATAATTCGGCATCGACTTCTACCTTTATTCCTTTTGTTTATATCATTCATGATGAATTTTGTTGTTGTTATTATGAACACAATTATGAGCAGCTAATTATTTAGTCTAAGGTTTTGATGGAACCTGTTGAGGGATGAACTTCTTGTTGTGTTAATATAGTTTGCCTAATTTAATCTCTATTTGTTCCACTACGTTCTTGTTGTAGTTAATTGATAGGATCCTCAATTAGTTGTGCCTATTTAATATGTAATACTCGGAAGAGAGTACATATTTAGGTAGTTGTTGAACAACACCACTCCCAAAGTATATAAGGAATCAATAACCGAGGGTTTAAAGGTGGGATTAGGGATAACGAAACCTTGGGTGCGATCTAAGTGAGTTGTAATAAAAGCCAGCTAGTGTAACTCGGGAGAGTGAGTCTAGTAAATTGCCCTAATTACTCTGGAGATATTTACGGTAGTAAGAGTGCTCATGATCAATAGAGACGATTAGGCAAATCTATACGAAACATAATAGGAAGGGGATTCCATCAATAGGGAAAATCATATCATTAGATCCTTCTCTTATTTGTTTACAACTCAGTCATAGTTAGCTTTTAGTTTACTTAATTTTATTCAGTTATAGTTAGTAGAAATATCGCCAAGTGTTATTCAAAATATCTGGGAAGTTGATTATGGAGAATTCAGTGAGTCTGACAAAAGTAATTTGTAGGTTAATTCCCTGTGGGATTCGACTCTGGGCTAAATACCCGGATTATATTTGCAACGATCACTTTATCCTTTTTATAAAGCATACTTGGGCATGATCAAATTTTGGCGATGTTGCCGGGAAATTAACAGTGTTATCAATTACAGTTGAAAGAAGTACAAAAATTCTTAGTGTAGTCAGTTTTCTTCATTTTCAATCCATACATTGAAATTTTAACTTTTGCTTACTTGGTTGTACAGGTGCATGCCTAGAAACTCATCAAGAACTGGTGAAGTGTTTGAAGCATTATCAAATCCCGAGAAAGTTTTCAAGGCCTTGAATCAGGCCAACCGAAAAAACAAACAACAACAATTAACTGAACAACTTGAACCAGACATGGCAGAGCTGGTAAACAACAAAAACAATAGTGGGGATAACGTGGTAGACCCAGTTGTGCAGGTAGTGGCGACTCTTGTGCTAGAGGCTCCTCTACATGACTGGGCGCAACTCACAACAGAGAATTTGGCCACAGCGATAGTAGTCCCGCAGATATAGGTTGAATCTTTTCAAATCACAAACAATATGTTGCACTTTTTATAAAACAAGGGACTATTTTCGGGGTCATACATTGAAGATCATCAACAGAACTTGAAGCATTTCCTATCAATCAACAAAACTCAAAGGCAGCCTAACTTAACTTAGGAAGCAATAAAGTTGTTGTTGTTTCCATTCTCAGTGACAGTAGCAGCCCAAACTTGGCTAAATTCACTCCCTATTAATTCCATCACGACCTGGGAGGAGTTAGTCAAGCAATTTGTGAATACGTTTCATCCACCCAACAAATTGCTCAACAAATTGATGAAATTTTGAGCTTCAGACAGAAACCAATGGAAACATTGCAAGAAACATGGGAATGATTCAAAGGGATGTTGGTTATATGTCCCCACCACGGTATTCTAGAGCAGATGGTAGGGCAGCGATTTTACATGGGTCTGACAAATAGCGTGAAGAATAATGTTGATGCTTCAGCTTGTGGAGCATTCTTGAGCAAATCATGGAAAGAAAGCCATATCCTGCTTGACAAGATGGCACAGAATTCGGGGTGGACAATCAGGAATGCACCTGTCACTCCAGTAGTTCACTCAGTGGCCTTAGATCCCGCCAACACTCTTGCTGAAAATATGGCTACCTTAATGACACAAATGAGCATACTCACCAAAAAGGTGGAAGAGTTAGGGCAGAAGCAGCATGTGCACATTGTAGATATAACCAATGGGGGCTTATGCACATCTTGTATTAGTCAGCAAATTGGTAGCCAGTGGAATACGGAAAGTGATCATCATCACTACCCTGAGAATATGAATTATGTGTCTAATTGACTGGGTGAGAAAAATTAGGGCCAACAGAATTAGCCATACAGACCAGTCCAGCCACAGCACAACAATGAAAATATGCGAGCCATGCGACCTCACGATAATGTGGCGCCTTACCAAAGGCCACAAGGGTACAACAACCAAAATTAGCAACAGGGTTATCATCCTCCTCAGCAGCAACATGGTGGGAGAGAGGAAGATGGGTTTTCTAGACTCGAGGTAATGATGCAGTAGATTATTGGGTCAAATACAAAAATTAATGAAAGAGTAGATGCACATGAATCAGCCATAAAGAATATTGAAGTGAAAATGGGCTAGATCTCGATGTCTTTGAATAATCATCCTCATGGGACATTGTCTGTAGACACTCAGGTAAATCCAAAAGATCAAGGTCCAAAGCAGCTGATGGCAGTGAATCTACGTAATGGCAGAGACCTAGACTTGGAGCAAGAGAGGGCTCGAGAAAGCAGACAGGCTGAGACACTTGTACCATTTGCCCATTGAGCTAGATGATTTAGCAAAACTGACAGAGGTGACAGTACAGACTGCCTAGGAAGAAGCCAACACACAGATTAAGGCTGAGAAAGAAGCTGAGATAGCCCAGGAATCGGTAGTTGAGGTGGTGTCTGGCAAAGAGAAAACCCAAATCACTGGGAAGAAGAGACCTTCAGCACCATTCCCACAGAGGCTGGCCAAATACCAGAAAGATAAACAATACAAGAAATTCTTGGAGATATTGAAACAAATTCAGGTAAATATTCCATTGATTGATGCTTTGAAGGAGATGCATGGTTATGAAAAAATGATGAAGGACTTGATGTTCGGAAAATTTGACTTCCAAGACTTGGCCACAGTGACTCTAACTCAGATATGCAGTGCTGTGGTAACTAGACCAGTTGCTGAAAACTTTTCTAATATAGGGAGTTTCACAATTCCCTGCACCATTGGTAACTTTGCCTTTGCCAAGGTACTCTGCAATTTGGGGGCTAGCATAAATCTTATGCCCCGGGCGATCTATAAGAGGTTGGGGATTGGAAGAACTAGACCCATGTCTATGTTGTTGCAGCTGGCTGACAGAACTATGAAAAGACCCTCAGGTATTTTGGATGACGTGTTGATATAGGTAGGGAAATTTATGTTCCCTACAGATTTTGTAATTCTAGATTGTAGAGTGAATGAAGAAATTCCCATAATTTTGGGAAGGCCGTTCTTTTCCACAGGGCGAGCCCTCATTGATTTTGAAACTGGGGAGCTCAAGATGAGGTTGAACGATGAGGAGATAACATTCAACATGCAGAAATCTATGAGGCGACCAAGTGAATTCGCCAATTTTTCTCTTATTGATGTCGTAGATGTAATTGTGGAAGAGGATGATGAGACATTGACTATTGAGGATCCTCTTGCTACATGTCTTATGAATTTAGATGAGGTGAATGGGGAAGAATTGGCAGAATAGGTGCTGGCTCTTGAGGGCAAAGGCTTTTGGGAGAGATTACTTGAATTTGAGCCCCTGCACTTAGAAAAAAGAGAAACTCCTCCAGCCAAGCCATCCATAGAAGAACCACCAAAGCTGTAGTTGAAGCCACTGCCCGCCCATCTCTGATATGCATTCCTAAGACCTCACTTCAAATTACCTATTATTATCTCATCTATTTTGTTAGATGTGCAGGCACAACAGCTTTTGCAGGTACTTATGGAGTGCAAGACTGTCATTGGGTGGACTATGGCAAACATTAAAGGGATCAGCCCAACATATTGTATGCATAAAATTCTGCTGGAGGAGGGAACAAACCTTCCAGGGAGAACCAAAGAAGGCTTAACCCCAACATGAAGGAAGTGGTGAAGAAGGAGATCATTAAGTGGTTAGATGCGGGAATCATTTTCCCCATCTCTGCTAGCAACTAGGTTAGCCCGGTGCAATATATTCCTAAGAAGGGTGGTATGACGGTGTTAAAAAATGATAACAATGAGCTTATCTCTACAAGAATCGGCACAGGCTGGAGAATTTGTATGGACTATAGGAAATTGAATCTGGCCACCCGGAAAGACTACTTCCCACTTCCCACTTCCCTTCATTGATCAGATGCTTGACAGACTGGTAGAGAGGTCCCACTTTTATTTTTTGGATGGGTACTCAGGGTACAACCAAATCTCCATTGCACCAGAGGACAGAGAGAAGACCTTGTTCATATGTCCATATGGGATTTATGCCTTTTGGAGGATGCTTTTTGGCCTATGCAATGCACCCGCCACATTCAAAGGTGCATGATGGCCATATATTCACTGGCATGGTTGAAGACATAATAGAGGTGTTCATGGATGATTTCTCAGTGGTAGGAAACTCATTCGATGAGTGCCTTACAAACCTGACCCGAGTGTTGAAAAGGTGTATCAAGACTAACCTTGTACTTAATTGCGAAAAGTGTCATTTTATGGTACAAGAGGGTATAGTCTTGGGACACCTAGTATCAAGCAAGGGAATCGAGGTGGATCGTGCTATAGTTGATGTGATAGCAAAGCTTCCACCCCCCACATTAGTCAAGGCAATCAGGAGCTTCCTCGGGCATGCCGGTTCTACCAGAAATTCATTAAAGGCTTGTCAAAAATTGCCAACCCTCTATGTAAGTTATTAGAAAAAGATCACCCTTTCATGTTTTCTAATGATTCCAGGGTAGCATTCGAGGAGTTAAAAAAGAGGCTAGTCACAGCACCCATCATTGTTGCCCCTGACTGGGAGTAACCATTCAAACTCATGTGTGGCGCCAGTAACTATGCAGTGGGGGCAATGCTAGGACAGTGGAAAGACAAGATAATGCACCCAATTTACTACGCCGGTAGACTATTGAGTGGAGCCCAACTGAACTGCATTGTGACTGCAAAGGAGATGCTGGTTGTGGTGTTCGCATTCGACAAGTTCAGATCATACCTGATTGGCTCTAAGGTAATTGTATATACTGATCATGCTACTCTCAGGCACTTGATTGAAAAAAAGGAGTCCAAACTGTGCCTAATTCGTTGAGTGCTACTGCTGCAAGAGTTCGACCTGGAGATTCGTGACCGTAAGGGCATGGAAAACTAGGTTGCTGATCATCTATCGCGACTTAAAGGAGCTGAAAACTCAATTGAGGCAGAGGATATTCTGGAAACCTTTCCAGACGAGCAGCTACTCGCCACAAGCCTTGAGGAAGTGCCATGGTATGCAGACATTGCAAATTACCTAGCAAGCGGTATAGTTCCCTATAACCTTTCCTTTGTGCAAAAGAAAAAGTTTTACCGTGATTGCCGCATATATTACTGGGATGAACCTTATCTGTTTAGAATTTGTGTTGACAATATGATCCGGAGGTATGTCCCCGAGATAGAACAATCTTCTATTTTACAGGCATGTCATGCATCGGCATATGGCGGACATTTTGGAGGAGTCAGGACGGCACCAAAAGTTCTAAAAGCTTAGTTCTACTGGCCAACCGTGTTTAAGGATGCACATCAATGGGTGAAGGGCTGTGATGAATGTCAGTGAACCGGTAACATCTCTCATCGCCATGAGTTGCCCATGAACCCAATTCAAGATGTTGAAGTGTTCAATGTATGGGGGATAGAATTCATGGGACCCTTAGTCAGCTCCTTTGGCAATAAGTACATACTTGTTGTTGTAGATTATGTGTCCAAATGGGTGGAAGCTGTAGCACTCCCCACCAATGATGCAAGGGTGGTGGTGGGGGTTTTGAAGAAGAATATATTCACCCATTTCAGGATCCCGAGAGCTATTATCAGTCACGGAGGCACTCACCTCTACAATCGAGCATTCGAGAAATTGCTAACGAAGTACGATGTGCGCCACAAGGTGGCAACCCCATATCCTCCTCAGACCAGTGGACAGGTCGAAGTGTCGAATAGAGAAATAAAGAGTGTGATGACCAAGACTGCGAATGCCACAAGAACCGATTGGGAGAAAAAGCTAGATGATGCACTCTGGGCCTACAAAACTGCTTTCAAAACACCAATTGGTATGTCACCATACAAGTTGGTGTTTGGGAAGGCCTGTCACTTGCCAGTGGAACTAGAACATAGATCTTGGTGGGCATTGAAATAGATAAATCTAGACATTGAGGTTGCGGGAACAAAAAGAGTCAGAGAATTACATGAGCTAGATGAGTTCCAATTTATTGCTTTCGAGAGCACGAGGTTATACAAGGAGATAATGAAGAGGTTGCATGACAAGAACATTATTGAGCGAAATTTCAATCCCGGAGACATGGTATTGCTTTATTACTCAAGATTAAGGCTATTTCCGGGTAAACTCAAGTCACGATGGTCTGGACCATTTGGGGTGGTCGAAGTGCTCCCTTCAGTGCCATAGAGATTGCCTCAGAGAAAGATTCCCACACATATAGAGTCAATGGGCAAAGATTGAAACCATATGTGGGCGTGGATGAAACCAAGGAAGTGTCAGTGATCCATCTGACTGAACCTCAGAGGTCGAGTGAGCCTTAAATGCGCTCATCTTCGACGTGATGCGATGTTAAATCAGGCTCTTCATGGAAGGCAACCCATTGATTTGTTGTATTTGTCGTGCCACGACATTAACTAAGGAATTGGTTGGGAGGCAACCCAATGCACAGTGGCTTTAGTATAGTTAGAATTTGTTATTTTTGATTTTAGTAAGTATTAACCAGTGTAGGTGAGCTTGGGTGAGTGATAAGTCCATCAGACGCTGAAGGAATAGGTAAAAATTTGAAAAATCTCGAGGCCCAGGAGCGCGGGCCCGCATGAATCATTCTCAAACCGCGCATATGGCAAAGTATTCTGCCTCAGCGTTTCACCCATGAGTGCGGTCGTGCTCAGACCGCACTAGTGACCGCGCATATGGAAAAGTAATCTACCTTAGATTTCTGCCCAGGAGTGCGGCCGCGCTCAGACCGCGCTAGTGACCGCGCATATGGAAAAGTGTTTTGTTTCACTAGCGTGGTCGCGCTCGGGTCGCGCTTGGACCACGCTAGTACTGTTCCGCCTGCTACTTTATATAAGTTAACATTTTTTTCTTATTTTGTATTTTAATTGTCTTATTTTGTTTACCTGACAACGTCCAAATCCACTACTAAAAAGTATATGGACACGGTCGCATGCAATATAATATATCCAACTATGAGTCGGGATAGAATCCCACGGAGAACAATATGTATGCGATTGGGAATGTAAGAGAACTATCACTTTTTATGCAATGTCAAACACTTAGAATTGGTTTGAGAAAATATCTATGCCTAAATGTGGAAATGTAAACTAACCTAGAAAGCAAGTAAAATGATCAATGGCTATAAGGATGAATGCATCGGGAATTACACTCAAGTAACGATCCAATGTATTTTACGATTTTACAAATATGAGCGAGTTTATGTTAATTAGCCACGGGTAATAATTCTATATTAGCTTCTTTCAAAGACTAACAAGACTGCCTAATTGAATTATCCCTAAAGCAATTAAGAGATTAAGCACATCCGAAATGGCTACAAGTAGTTCAATCCTATCCCTAGGTAGAATCTATAAAATGAGGGTTAACGCCTCAAGTTCTTGTTAATTAATCTTTCCCAACCCCAAATTATCTTTTCCAAAATTATTTTGGAGCTAATGGGCGAGTCCTAGGGTGAGATAATCCCTTTGGAAACATTAAAGAACAAGAATAATTAAAGAAACAACAACTCACTTCATAAATAAATGAAAATCATTCAATACATAAGCACAATAAGGTATTTAATCCACACTTTAACTATGAATATTTCCATAAATAAGATTCAAGTATTGGAAATAAATACTACACACTTAAATATTCAATATAAAGCAAGGAAATAAAGAAATAAACATAAATGGGTAAGAAATCCTTAACCACAAGCTTGAAATCTTCAAAACCCAAGTGTGTGTGCAAAACCCTAGCTTCCAACCTTGTTCTCTCTAGTTCTAAGAACTGAAAATATGCCAAAAGATTCTTTACAAATGAGCTGGTTTGGGTATTAAATGGTTTGGGGTGAAAAATGTGAAATTCCAGAACTGCCCAGTTTCTTCATCGCGTTCGCGACCACATATTCGCGTTCGCGAAGGTTTTCTATCCTCAGCTTTCGCGTTCGCGTTTAGTCCTTCACGTTCGCGAAGAGTAAATCATTGGGCAGGTTCTCATTGTTCATTTTAGCTTCTTTTTGACTTGTTTTTACTTGGTTTCTTCACCCTTACCTCTAAATCACATACAACCTATAAAATATAAGTAAATGACATTAAACACATGATTTTATCACTCAAACATAGCAAAAGTATAGGTTTAAAGATATGATTAGTTGGTAAAAATACCAACTTATCAAACCCCCAAACTTAAACTATTGCTTGTCCTCAAGCTATGAAAGCGACAAAATCTCCTCCCAAGTATTTAACTCAATAGTGCATCCATATCATGCCAAGCCAAAAAGATCTACTATAAGCACAAACACATGACTTTGATTGGTACCAACAATTACTCCAAAGCATATGAATTATCAAACACTTCTCATGAACTTTATTACATTTCAAGTGCTCAAACACTATGCAAATCAAAGTAGCAATCAAGTCATGATACTAAAGTTTCACAATTTGCCTCTTTATCACAATTAACTTTCTTTGGTCATTCCTTCCAATTGAAAATGGGATTAAATTCACAACTCAAATATCATGTGCCCTCACATTTAAGAGAGAATCCCAACTTTTATATTGCAATTTAAACACACACAGGATATCGAATGGAAAGAATTAACTCTCACTTTCTCAAAGATGTTCAAATGCATACAAATAGTACCATAGGCTTGCCCTTCATGTATTTCTCCACTAATGTAGACATATTCGGTTCAAAATCAATTAGGACTTAAAGGGTTGTAGTTTAGGCTTTTGGTTAAGGTAGGGCACAATTTTGGGTAAGAGTGACTCAAAACCTCCCCAAGCACTACAAAATTTGCAATCAAAGTCCTTCAAAAACAATTTCCATTCTTTCTTCACTTTTCATTCCACACCTAATCTTCCCTTTATTCACAACTTCTTCTTTTTTTAATTTTTTTTCTTCCTTTCTTTTCAAAATCAAGGAAGGTTTCACTTTTTACAAAAAACATTCTACCTTCCACCTTTTAAACAACTTCCATATCACAACTTTCCAACCTTCACCCCCAAACTTAGGCTTTTAGCCTATGTTTACACTTTCAAAGTACTTAGGGAGGTAGGATGCCAAAAACTAGATCAATAAAGAACAAAGGAATAAAGCTTGTAACATGGTTGCCAAAGAACAAGGTTAAAGGCTCGAAATGGGTTGACTAGGGAAAATATTCAAGGGTAGGGAATTTAAGGCACAATTGCGGTCCAAGGAAGGCCTAATATCATTTTTCAAACAAAGTTAGTCTATAATTTTCCTTTAAAGCACATTCCGGGCAAGTTCTAGACTATAAGTAATGCAAAAGAACTCACAATAAATCTCACCACACATGGCACATGAACACTCAAGTGGAATACAAATCCAAAATCTAATTGAAACCAATGACTCAAAGAGGTTACATTGTCACGCCCCAAAACTGAGGGGCGCGACCGGCGCTCGACCGGGCAGCCCCAGCCAAGCGGACCTGGGTGCCTTTCCTATTCCACGTGTTACCCCGCGTTTCCATTTCCCATTAAGCAAGTGAAATAGCCATTTATAAATTTAAACNATATATATATAAACAAGAAATTAAGAAGCTACTAAACATAATAATATCACACATCACATGAAAATACACTAATAACAAAATGAAAACAACCATAGTACCAATCTTCCATACCCATAGTTATCCAAAATTATACAAGCACCACAGTTATAAAAGAAACCACCCCAACTAAAGATGTTGCAATGTCCCAATGCAACTAAACATGATAAAGTAAAATGGTGGAAAGTGCTCCCTGAATACTACATCAGTCGGAGCTGGAGGTGGTGGGAAATTTGAGCTCCACGTCCACATCATCATCATCCTCCGATTCATGTGAACCATAAAATGTACTCAGCTTTTGCATCATCTTGGACAGAAGTTTGCTTTTCTTCTTCTCATGCTCCTTGAACTTTCTCTGTCTCTTCTCAATCATTCCTTGCCATCGACTCATGTTCTCCAACCTAGTGTTAATAGCCTCCATCTTGCCCGTGATTGCTTTTTTCTTTTTGACCACATTCTCTATGGATAGTGGGGTAGCAGCCCCAGTAGATGTGCCAATCCTAGTAGATGTGCCAGCCCTAGGTGGGCCAGTGGGAAGGCCAGCTATAAACTACCTAACATGCGCATCTACTCGATATATCTGACTAGATAAGTGGCGCATAGTGTGAGGACTAGAGTGGTTCCACGGGGTCAAAGGACCCTGATAAAGGTGCAAAGGACCCGGCGGGGTCAGTGGTGGCCTTAGAGTACTGCCCAAATGAAGAGGAAGTAACATCAATTCTCCTCTTTTTTTGCTTGTCACTGGGTCCCCTTTTCAGCAAAGGATGGATCATTGGCTTTCCTGGACCTTTCTCAACATCATTGGGGCGTTTAGGCACCCCAGCATCATAGCAAAGTCTAGTGATCAAGTATGGGAAGAAAGGCTCTTGGACCTCCCATGAGTGGCTTCCTCAATTTCTCAGACAATGTGTTCCCCCACGTTCACAGGTAGTCCATCCATGGTAGCAGCAATTATCAATGTCATGTCTGGTGTCACATCAATGTCATTTGTAGAGGGCTACACTCTTGAACAGATAATTGAGAGCCATGTCTTTGCCTCAGCTGTTAAATCATGTGAATCAACTCCCTTGTGCACTGTCAGCCACTTCGGGTAACCCCATCATGTAACTTATCCACTAGCCATTGGTTTCCTCCTGCTTTGGCTCTGTCTCTGTAGACCTCGTTATCAGCATTGGGAAGGCCATAAATACCATTGATTATCTCAGGGATGAAATGGACTTGCACATCCCGAACAGTAGAAACAAAGGCACCTTGGAAGTCGGTCCTCAAGGCATTTGCATAGAAATCCAGAACTATTGTGTGGTTGGCATTATTTGGTTGCTCGATAAAACAAATCCACCTGCTCTCTATCAAGCGCGTGTAGAAGCTCGGCATTTTAGCTTCGACTTTTTCCAAGTTTATGCCTCTTTCCCGGACGATGGTCTTGGACAAGAGTTCATCGTATCTTCACTCACATGATGCAGATAGAAACCGTTCATGGTCAAATGGGTCCTCTTGTTCATCTCCAAAGACATGTTCTTGCTAAATTTCATTATGATTTGGATCCATTTTAAGCCCAAAGTACCTACAAAGTATACCAACAATGTTAAAAGCTCATACAGACACTAAAAACAATGTA